TTCCTAGAGTGCTAGATTTGCAAAAAATTGCAAGAAACAAGTGTGAATCGTTAATTTTTTTTGAAAATTTTTCAAATTTTGAAAAATATGACAAAAATAGGTAATTTTTTTCAATTTTTTATAATATCTTGTGATTTCTTTTTTTCTTGAATGTTTAAATTTATGTTGATATACATTTATTACAATCAAAATCATAATTTTTTTGTGTTATTGATAAATTTATGGAAATTTCAGGAAGATATTTGGGGAAAATATAAATTAATAAAAATTTTGAAAATGTAATTTTTCTCTACCTATAAAGACTAAATATGTTTTAGATTTATGGATTAATCTATTATATCCATAGAACAATTGAAATTTCTTCTTTATTATTTTTTTATTTTTTATATTTTTAGAATTAAAAAAAAAATAATAATTAATTATATTTTATTATTTGATCACAACAATTGAATATATTATAATTCTATGGATGATTATTCATATCCACAGACCAATTAAAATTTCTTATTTAATAATTATTTTTTTTATTTTTTTATTTTTAGAATTAAAAAATAATTAATTAATTAATTATATTTTATCACTTGATAAAAATGGTTGAACATATTATAATTCTATGGATGATATATCATATCCACAAAGCAATTGAAATTTCTTCTTTAATAACTATTTTTTGAATATATTATATAATATTTATTTATTTTTATAATTTTTGAAAATAAATAATAAATAATAATTGATTATATTTTCACTTAGAAGTTGTACCAACACATGTTTTATGGTTGGATAGGAGAATTGAGTTTTTTCCATCCCATAAAGCATTAAAACTTAAGAATTATAATTTATAAATTATAGTTAAGCATGAGATTTTTAATGAAATTATAATTACCTACAATATATTTTTTCATAAAACCATTAAATTATATTAATTTAATGTATATACACCTCATTGAGGTTTTATATTTAGTGTTATTGATGTATTTTTATGATTTATTAAATTATTTATAGTGTTTCCAAGCATATCTATGCGTAACTTAGTTTTTCTCCGATACACTTGTATCCAAGTCATATCCCGATACATCTCTTAAAATTGCATTTTTTATACATTTGGAATTTCCGATACTTTGAACCTTGGTAGCATCTTTGTGGAAGCCTTTAGGTTATGTTTGGTTTGAAGGAAAAGGTAGGGAAACCTATACAAGTTTTGTAAAGGTTTCCCTACCTTTCCCTTCTTTTCCCTACTTTTTCCTTCTAACCAAACACAGCCTTAGCGAGAGCAAACTCGCAAAAGACTATTAGCACAAATAGGCCTTTGTTAAGAAAATGTTTGGTTCTATTTACAGACTCGTTAAATTATTCTATGATTCCACTTCACGCCTCCTCTTCTTTCCCAAACGAATGAACCAAAGTAGTGGCAGCTCCTCTCTCTTTCTCTCTCTCTCTCTCATCCTTTTCAGAGTTGGGAGGAGTTAATTCCAATTCCTTTTAGGGGCGAGTTCTCTTTGTTTGCTGACCCTAGCAACAGTGGCAAAGTAGGGAAGAAGAAGAATTATGTTTGTTAATGATAAAAAGAAAATACAAAATTTAAAACTAATACTAAAATGAAACAATTTTCCTATCTTGTTGGTAGTTTTTTTTTTTTTTTTTGCTAGAAACCTCGTTGGTAGGTCAATAGTCCAACACTTTTGGTCAAATGCTTCAACACATGATGTTATAATTAAATAGTATATATTTAAAAATTAATAGAGCACAAAAAATGAAAAGGGAAAGAATTTTGTAAAATACATTTAGGCAATATATATATATATATATATATATATATATATATATATAATGATGGAAACGGAATATAAAATTTAAAGTCAACCCAAAATCAAAAGAAATTTTCTATCCAAGTGGTGGATCAAGGATTCAACCATCTAGGTTAGATGGGTCAACCTAAGATGTCATGGTTGCAATAATAAAAATTTAAATAAATAGAAATATAAAAAGTAACACAAATATATAAAAGTTTGGGGAGAATAACGATTCAACCCAGGGTCAGAATTTGTAGCCTCAAAGTACATTTGCGATAGGTGTCAGCTTGGAATTGATGCCAATTCACGGGCGGGTATGCGTGTATAAAGTGTGAATTTTTGACATTTTGAATATTTATAGCTCTATAATAGAAATCAGAAATCTGCATTGGGATTTCTGTACTTCTCCAAAAAGTTTGTAAAAATTTTGGGTACATCTTGAATATATATTCATCATATTAAAAATCTGTGTGATGAATAAGAATTGTTTTTTTTAGTGATGAAAAATAGAATAACACTTAGGAAAAAATTGAATCAATGTTTAACGTGTGACTAATGATTCAATTAAATAGTTGAATTAGCTTGTTCAACAACATAGTGACTAACTAAAAGGTTTTATGTAGGCAAGTAATTTGGTGATAAGTGGACCCAAAATTCTGGTAAAGTGAGTAGTTGACCAATCCAACCAATTGATTTGGCCATAGGATAAAAAATTGCTGAAAAAACAATGTTGCAAAAATCAATTAGAATTGTATTTCTCGCCTAGTCTAATAAGTCAATTTGAGACTCATAAATTAAATAATATGTATATAGAAAACTTAATAAATTTATAGAAAATTTGAACATGTCTTTAATATTATATATTCATCATATTAAACAAAAACATATATAAAAAATGAGAATTATTATTATGAATGTGAAAATGGCTAAAAATATTAAACAAAAAGAATCAATGTCTTATCAAATATCAATGTCTTATTAACCTGGTCAAATATGTCAACAATTCAACCAATAAGGTCATCTAATTATTAACCAAATCAATGGTTTGGATCAAAACATAAATTTGTGTAATTGACAAGTTAATCAATTAGATTGTTTGGTTCAACCATAACTATTGCCTATCATGTCAGGCTCCCTGGATATGGGTACAATATGCCTGATCATATTGTATGTAATGTATTGACATTTGAACCTTGGGCTCAGTTTGGAAAGAGTACAAATGCAAATATGTACAGCCTAAATACATATAAAATATAATGTTTTGCACTCTACATATTTGCATTTCTACTCCTTCCAAACTCAGCCTTGGTATCAAAATTATAACATTAAATCTAAGGTTGAAACAAGGTTTTAAATATCGACACGGGCCGATAGCATATCGGCCTATGTTGGTGCTTTTTTTTATGTTGTACTTATTTATTTTCGAAATTGATTCAGAGGGGCCGGTTTAAGGCCCAATTACCCTCTAAAACAATGGCTGACCCAATACAAACCCTGTAGGAGCATGTCGGGAATCCACCAACACAATATGTATCGATCAATACGAGCCAATACATGTCGATACTTTGAACCTTGACCACAAGTTGGAAACATTAATATAAACTACAAATAAGAAGATTTAAAATTAAATGTTTAGGTTGAAAGGTAACTAAAGAAGACTTCTTTGTTTTGATGAAAACCACTTTGATCGTTCAGAACTGGAAGCTCTTATTCCTAGAAATTTGACAAGACTTTTTCATGGAGACTTTTGAGCTTTTGTTGTTACTCATATAGAGTAATTATGTTCCTTTTTGGTGGATGAATCTTTGTTATAAACTTATAATGTGTTTCTTGTTGGGAGGGTTTGAAATAGTGAGAGAGAGCTTTGTGTGCTTGGGTTTTGGGACAAGGTAAAGGTGTAAATTGAGTCGTGCCACCTGTGGTCTAGAATGAATTTGGACCTGCCTGACATGACGGTCCTTGGGCCGTGTTAGGTTTGAAACGGTCATGTGAGCCATGCTGGGCCTGGGGTTTTAGGTCCATGGGCGAGCCAGTACGGCACGATCGAGCGAGCAACACAACCCATATATATTATCTATATATATTTATATATATAATATTATATAAATTATAATTATACAATAATATATAGTATATAATATATTAATAAAATAAGCAATTGTTTTCAATGTTATTATACTAATTTATTTAATTATTGTGTATATAAGCAATTGTATACATCAAAATTCATATAAAATTAAAATTTTAAGTTTTTTTCAATTTTTTTAAATAAATACATTTGGCCCGATCCACGGTCCGGCCTTGCCCAAGGCTTGGCCTACAGACCAACCCGGCCTACAGCACGATACGAGCCTGTACGAGCTTGGGCTATGGGTCATGTCGGGCCAACCCCCCAAGTTATCCTAAGGGAGGGTGGCAGAACCTGAGACGGCCCACAGTTTGCATGAGCCACCCGCAGACCATGCTGTGCCAGCCTATTTTACACCTTTAGGGCAAGACGGGTTATGTCCTTGTAAAGTTGAATTTTCCATTTGATAATGGGTAATTAAATTTTAGATTGACTGCCTCTCCACTTCAAATGAAGTTTGGGATTAAAAAAAGGGCCAAAGGCAACAAAGTACTTTCTTTTTTTTTCTTTCTTTCTTTTGCTTTCTAGACTTCACACTATAGAGCAACAGAACACATATAAGGACAAAAGATATGAACCAAGATAAATTGGTGGGCTAAAGAAACTTTTTGGTATACAGCTAATTTAATGGTTGGACAAAATATCCTACTACACTAAATCCTTAAATCGTAAACCCTACACCCTAAATCCTTAACTCTTAAATCTTAAAACTTAAAACCTAAAATCTGAAATCCCTACTTTTTAAAACCTTAAATCCTAAATTCTAAAATTTTGGTATAAAATACCTTTGGATATAACCATGTCGTCCATCCCATTGGGAGCCAAATGTTTTCCATTTAGATGGATAGCCTGCGGATTTTTAGGGGTGAACTTCAATGTATCAAGAAAACAGGGGGGGTTCTGTCCCCAACCTTGAATTAACTCCGAAGTCCATAGATTCTCTTTACATAAAGAAAGTCCACGGATTGGGTTCAGCCCAGTCCATTCCAGCCAGATTCTCACGTGGCTTCCGCCATCCGGCTCAAATAAAAGCCTCTCTTTGCAATCAATTGACGCCACCTGTAAAAAAAACGAGGAAAATATGCTTGGTTGGTTTACTGCCGTTCCCAGAAGTTAATAATGCTGCAGCTAATCGTCCGGCACTGACTCTTTTAATTAATTAATCCATTTTCGTACTATATTCTTCTTTTTTTTTTGAAATTTTGTGTCTATTTCTTTCTGAATTTTTCTTTCGCCCTTTTCTGTACAAAAATTTTCCATCTTTAAATGATTGGTTGGATCAAACCCTAGACTCTCCCCTCTGTTCTGATTGCTTGGATCAAATCATCGAATCGAATTCTATAAATGATATCTCAGGGCAGGTAAAATTCCATTTTTTTTAATCTTCTCTGTTGTTGCCTTTCTTTCTCATCATTCTGAATTTCATCAAATTGGCTTTGATCACAAGAGAGAGGGATTTACTGGTACACACCAAATGATTTCTTTCTTTTTTTTTCACCTTTTTTGGAAAATATTTTGGGTTGTAGTAAACAGTTAGAGACTTCGTGCAAATTCTCTGGAAGTATTGGATTCTAATTTTTTTTATCAATCCAGTAAAGAGATAGAGGAACAACTATAATTTTCTTTGAAGCTCGAACCTCACAGAAACGGGTTGGACATATAAACTTGGTGGATGAATTGATTGATTCAGAACATAATTTTCTGTATTGAAAGTTGTATTTTCTTTGTTTGGATTCGAATTCATTATTTTCCTGGTGAGATATAGAGTGGTATAGATTAAACTGATTTCCATTTCTCATTTTGCTTTTAGTTGGTTGCTGTTGAGGAATACAAAACCCAAAGTTGCATGGGCAACTGAGCATTTGAACTGAAAAAATAATATTCACTTAGGTGAGACTGAAGACTCTGGGTCACCTGGATTTGCACCGCCTACATGGTGGAAGGTAGAAATTGTAGTGTTCCACCTTATACCTTACTTGCATTCAGGTTGCCTATAATCTCCAATGTCACCTCACTGAACTATAGTTTGTGGAGAATGTGGAATCTAATGCCTTGGTGAATTTTGGAGATAACGATTAGATAGTTCTTTATTGTTTTTTCTTCAAGTCTTTTGACAAGTATAGATAGGGGATTCATTGGGTAGTCTTAATAATACTGTGATGATATGGGTATATGCATGGACTTTTGATGTTTGACTAAGAATTATGCATCAGAATATAATGCCTTTTCTTTTTGATCAACAGCGCAAGATCCAGATACTTAGTTAATGAAATGAAAGTCAAAGTAAAGAATACAGGAAATCTTTTTCTCAAAATGAGAGGATGAACCATAAGACAAGCAAGAAACAGCCACTAAAGTTGATCCCGGAAATATCTTTATTACTTGTATTACCCTAACAATCCCTCCCCCTAATACGATTAGTCTCACCACCATCCCGGCAATATCTTGGTATCCAGCTGAACAAGGTGTTCATCCTGACTGTCAATGATGTAGTGTCCCTTATATAGCTTAATAGTCTCACTACCCCAGGTCCTTTAGATGGTAATCTCAGCTAACATATTATGAATGAAGAGCACCCTTCAACTTTCAAGGCAAGAGAGAAGCCAATCTTCAGGCCTCGAATAGGTCACATGATCTCAGTCTCAATGAAAGTGGCCTTTCCAGTAGGACCTGTGTATGCAGCAACCACTTCTAAAAGATAGGTCCTGAAAGCATTCTCAATCCTTGAAACGGCCGTATTACCCATGAAACTGCAATGAAAAAATAACCTTGCTTTGAGGGGAAGAAGGGCTCCTATCACTTTGCATCTTTTGCAGACAATATGTATTTTGAGTTCTTATTACTGTGTGATTATTATGTAGCTATCCTTAATGCTTAAGTGTTGTTTTTAGAATGATCTGCTAGAAATATAGATGAAAATATTGGGATCTGTCATACCAAGTGTTGAATTTTGGTGAAGATCCATTTTAACTGTAAAATTTGATGTATATATTTGCTTAGGTCCACATAGCTATTTGGCACTCACTTCTTTTCTAGGACCCACCATGTATCTCTTTAAGGATTCTATCAATTGTCTCAAAAGAAACCAAAATTGCTTTCTGATATGCTTGTTTCATGTCGTAACCTTCACTCAATTATTCACTCCCAAAGTTTCATGGTGTGGCTCATGAGTTTAATTCCATGATGATTATTACAACTCTGTATATTGCCTTTGTTCTTAAATAGAGGTACCATAATGCTTTCATTCATCAAACATCTTCTTGCTAAATTGTTTAATCAACCATAATAAGCCTACTCTATAGTCTACACCACCGATCTTCTTTAACACTTCACCATTTCCCTTTAGATTCTCCTAAAACATACTTTGCTATTTTCCTTATGTTAGAGTTAGCCGAATAAGGGTAGATTAGTCAACTCACCTTGGTTAAGTTATGAGCTTATGTGGCAGTCTTATTAGAGGTTCTCTGTCCCATACTTAA